TATATATATACATATATATATAAAGGGTCTTTCAAAAAGGACGCTCGATTTTTAAATGTAAATAAAACAAGTTGTGTGAGATATTCACTCAATTTTTTTTTTATTTGAAAGAATATTTTATGGCATTAAGTATGGAATATAACGTCGCTCAAATGTCCGCCGCGGCTTCGCTTGGTGACACGTATTCGGGCGGTCCAATTTTCGATGACTTTCTCGCATAAATCTGGCTGAATTTGCTGGATGGCGTTGTGTTTTGTTATGTTGACTTTGAGAGCGTCAATTGCGATTTATTCGTATAGACCTGCGATTTAAGATAGCCCCAAAGAAAGAAGTCTAAAGACGTTAAATCGCACGATCTCGGTGGCCAGTTCACGTCGTCGCCGCGCGAGATAATCATGCCCTCAAATCGCTCGTGCAGAATATCCATCGTGGCAGGCTGTGTGTGTGTGTGGCACGTAGCGCTATCTTGTTGGAACCACATGTTATCGGTATCCATATCATCTATTTTAGGCCACAAGAAATTGCTTATCATCGATCTGTAGCGCTCGCCGTTGACGGTTATGGCAACGCCCGCTTTGTTTTAGAAGAAGTACGGACCGATGATTCCGCCAGACCAAAATCCGCATCAAACAGTGACTTTCTCGGGATGCATTTGGAGCTGGTGTATCTCGCGTGGAATTGTCCCAATTTTGACAATTTTGCTTGTTCACATATCCATTCAAAAATGAGCCTCATCGCTAAAGATGATTTGTTTGGCGAAATTTGGATTAACTTCCAACTGCTCCAGAACCTAATCAGCGAACACACGGCGTTGTCTATGGTCGTTTACCTTAAGTTCCTGGGTCAGTTGAATTTTATAGGGGTGCAGACCCAAGTCCCGACGCAAAATTTACCAAGTTGAAGTCGCAGAAAGGCCAAGGTTCTTGTGAACGAGAAATTGGCCTCGGGTTTTCCCGTACACTCTCACGTATAACAGACGATGTTTTCAGCAGACCTTGCGTTTCGGCGACTGATGTTGGTTGATTATTTATCGAATCGGTTGACTCGAATTTGGCCACCAAACGTCGAATAGTCGACTCGGCAGGATGGTTGTGGCGAGAATAAAAATCACGTAATGCGCA